TCGTTCAGGTCTGCTGCATTGAAGTACCTCCTCTCACAGACATTGCAAACTTGTCTTGCTGCATGGTGAATAATCTTTTGGTGATCAATTAGTGCTTTCAAGCTTTTCAAAGAAGGTCGTTGTTGTGGTTGTCGATGAGTGCAAAGATAACAAAGGAAAGGGGGTGGTGGTGGTGGTTCTTGTTGGTTATTCATGATGGAAAAATATAAAAGAAATTAATGCTGTGACAAAATTATTGAGGGAAAGAGATTATATATTGATAAATCATTCTAAGTGTATGCATAATTAAATTATAATGTTATTTTTCAACTACTTTGTCATATCATTTTTATTTCAATTTAAGTCATGTATTCTATTAATCCTTATATAATTAAGACTTTATTTGTTAGCTGGTGGAGTGTAGTGCCTATAGTTATAGATTCATTTTATTTTTTATTATTTAAAAAATATATAAAATATTAATTAAAATTAATAAGAATATATAAAAAAAGAATTAACAATAATAAAATTATATTTTTAAATAACATGTGTTCAAATGATGCCTAAATGTTAAAAATATCAAAAGCAATAATGATTTCATGCTTTCTACATTTATTTCTGATCATGCATTCTACATAAACATTTCATGCAACAGTGTTTTTTTTTTTTTTTTTTAAAAGACCTTTTCAAAATGATACATCTAAGCTAATTCCATTTTATCTTATTTATATGATATTTGTTCCAAGTTCATTTCCCCATTAGATAACAACATTGATTCTAGTTGGGCTGTGAATCTCGTTGGCCAAAAAAAAAAAAAATCATTCCATTTGCATCATAAGCAGGGGAGAGTTTAGGCTTTGAAAAGTTTGGGACCAATTTAGCCTTATACTGTAAACTAATAGAATAAAATAAAACTCCCTCCCTTCCCGTTGATGCGTCTATCAAACTTTTAACTGCCTCTATACTCGAATTTTAAGTGACATTTTTATATTGCATATAAATCACAATTATTTTTTTATTTTAATACGCAATTTTATTGAGTAGTTTTACATAATTTAAAAAAATTAATTATCATTAATATATTATATAAAAAGGATAGTGTAG